ACCAACTACTCATTTATCTCTCAACGGATAAATGTTTCAATAACATTTGGGGCACGCAGCTCATCATCTATCAATTTCTCATTTGGAGAAAGTTGATATTGAATCAGAAGGATATATGTCCCCCCCTTCAAGTCTTTTTGCTCACATATTGAGTCTGATAAATTTGTGTAGTCCACACGGTTTATCTTTTTTAGCCTAAACAGAAGCATTAATTGCTTTATTCTTTTACACTACACAGATTTAGCATTTTATATGTTAATTTTCCAAAACATTCATAGATAAGCTATTTTTTAGCTATCGATGATTGAATGGAAGACTTGGTGAGATGAACATCAAAAAGTCTCATATATACAGTACATCCATTGTACTGAGTATATCTGTTATACTCACAGGCCAATCTTTTTATAAGATTGAAAACAATTTCATACGTTAAAATTGGTTGTTATCTTCCCATTCCCTTAATCTGAAAAGATTAAAAAAGTGGATTTGCAAAGATCTACTTACAGTTTCTTGATATGACGTTTTAAACGAAAAATTTCATTCATCTTTTGTATAATGGAATGATTCTCTTTTCATCATAAGGGGGAGTATATGTACTAATGAATGAAATATTCATTTCCGAACATTGTTAAAGGGAATCTGATGTAAAGATCAAGGGGGAGTAACTTCGAAAATGGCAAAAGAAGAAGTGCGACTAAAGATTATTTGTGTGCTACAACGACTGAGAGATTTTGAATGAGAAGATCAATGTTTCAAAAGTTTACTAAAGAAAAGTCTGAAGACTTGTTATCTGAAGATACTTTGAAGATCACATCCTGTACAGTGTTTCTGAAGATTGTTTTTGATCTACATTGTCAAAAGAKAAGATCACMGTGATTCTACATTCGAGGGGGAGAATGCTAGAAGATCTATCTCAACAGATGATTACTTGAAGATTACAAGTTAAAGATTTCTTTTGAAAGAAGACATATTGTGCATAATGTTTCAAAGTTCAAACAAGGACTCAAAGTGCAGAATTTTCTTTCAAGTCTGAATACAAAGGGGGAGAATGTTATGACTGAAAATCAATATTAATTGTATTTGTCTTGAAAGTTAAATATAGTCAATAATTGTAAAAGTCAGCGTGTTTGACTTTTCTTATAGGAGTTTGACTTTAACTTGTCTTTAATAGTTTGACCATATAAATAGAAGTTAGTCTTTGTAATTGTAGAAGAGTGAGCTCATTTGTAAGATTTGATACGTAATGAGAGGTTTGACCATATTGTAAGGATTGACTTTCTCGCTCAATGTTCTTGATGATCTTGAATGTTATATCCTAATCTGCCATTGTTATGAAGCTATATTGAAGATTGATCAGTGATTTTAGGGACTCACACATTACTTAATACACTACAACCTCAAGTCATCGCATCAATTTAATGCAATAAGTTACTATTCATGGGTAATTAAGTGCCACAACTTGAGTTCATCGCATCTGTTGGGTACGACAAGTAGTTGTGTGTGACAAACTTTTGGGTGCGGTAAGAATTTTTAGTTGGATGCGACAAGTTGGTTGATGCGATAAAATATTGTTGACTTTTGGTTTATGAGTTTGTTTTCTGAAATAGTTCAAAGAGTTGGTCTACAATATTTTAAAAGATTAAGAACAATGTCTTCAAAAGAAGCCATGGCAATAGGTTCAGATATGAAACTACCTGTCTTGTTCAGAGGTGACTATTCTCAATGGAAAGATAGGTTTCTCGATTTCAGCAACAAACAATTGCCGGGTGCTCTAATGAGAGAATCTTTAAAGGAAGGAGTAGTAAATGTTATGGACACTATACCTTATTCACCTGATGCAAATCCTCCAATACTAGTACAACAACAAGTGTCAAGGGAGTATGCTTCACTGACTGAAAGAGAAAACATGTGTTCATGCTGATCGGCTGATCAGATTATATATCCTGCAAGGTCTATCATATGATATCTACACCAGCATTGATAGCCACAAACAAAGTGGTAAGACTATGTGGGATCATATTGAAAAGAAGATGATGAGTAGCAATGTTGGTGCTCAGATCAAGGTGACTAATTGCATCGAAGGCTATGAAAACTTTCAAGCCAAAGAAAGTGAGAATAATGTGAAGTTTTCGAGCAATCTACAACCTGAATGGAAGATATTTGGATCTTATATCATTCAAAACAAGTCATTTTCAGAACTGGACATTCTTGTCATATATGAAACACTTCTGCAGAATGAGGAGCTTAAGCCAGAGTACTAGGCATTTTGCAAAAGGATGACGGAAGCCTGTTGTGAAAGACTCGTGATATTACAAGAACAAAATGCTCGTAGCTAAGCAGAAAGAAGATGGAAAGGCACTGAGGGCAGTGGATGATCATTGGTCGCAACTATCCGGAAGTGATGATGAAGATGATGCTGACACGCACATTTACTTCATGGCCAATGACTTAGATGGGCAAAACTTCTAATTTTGAAGGAAAACTTCAAAACGAAAAGAACTTGACTGCTTTTTGGGAAACAAAGAGCAAAAAGAATCACGAGCTGATTGTTAGTCTTCCTTGTGAAAAAGCTCAAAATTTACATTTAGTAAAATCTTTGAAAGATGAAAAAGAAGAGTGTTTGAAAGAAAAAGAAAATTTTCAAAAGACCTTTAATGAGCAAATATCTGATTTATCAGATAAGATGATTCTTTCGAAAAGAGAAACAAATGAGTATGTCTTGATGTATGAAAAGGTATGTAATGAGAACGCAAATTTGATTTTCTAAACTTCAAAATCTTAAAGAAAAATTTCTTAAAAGAGGTCAAATTAATCAAACAATTTTGATGAATAAACCAAAGGCGTTCTTGTATTATAACCTAAAGCAAGCTTGGGATTTGAAAACCCAAGTTACTTAAAAAGGTTGTTTCTCAAGTTCCTACTTTATATAGTACTTGTATATGAAACTTGATCCTAAATTGTTAGGACTGAGAAATCAGTATTAATTGTATTCGTCTTGAAAGTTTATAAATAGTCTATAATTGTAAAAAGTCAGCGTGTTTAACTTTTCTTATAGGTTTGACTTTGACCTTGTCTTTATTAGGTTTACCATATAAATAGTGGTAGTCTTTGTAATTAGTGTAGAGGAGCTTCATTGTAATACGTACATACATAATAGAGGTTTGACCAGTGCTTATAAGTTTGACTTTTCCTCTCAAGAATCATATTGTGTTCTTCATGAAAATCAGATCTGCCATCATTGTTATGAACTTACATGAAGATTGATCAGAGATTTTGGACGCACAATTGGTATCAGAGCTGGAATGTAAGAAATCAGAGATAAAAAGAAATCAGATAAGTTTTTTTTTTTTAAAATTCTGATTTTTTTTGGTGTTCTTCGTGTTCTTGATTTTTTCTTTGTCTTTGATCCGATTTTTTCATAAAATCTTGTGTTTTTGTGTTAAAAATATGATCAAAATGTTCAAAATTGTGTTGTGAATCTTTGTTATTCACAAACTTTTCTGATTTGATCAATCTTTATCAAGATTTAATCGGATTTTTGTGTTTTTAAATTTTTTTCGTGTTCTTAATTTTTTTTTAAATGTCAATGTTTTTGATCCATTTTTTTTTTGTTTTTTGTGTTTTTGATTGCTTTTGATCTGATTTTATAGTTTAGATTGTTTGTTTTTGTTAAACCGGCCAATTTTTTTTAAAGCCCAATTTTTTTTGCCCAATATACATTTGACCGGATAAGAGCCCGCTTACAGCCTCCATCTTCATCATTTCCATCTACACCGCACACCATTCAAGTGGTGTTTCTAAACCGCAGAGCTCTTGTTCTTAAATCGAAGGTATAAGCTTCTTGACCGGATTGTTCACCGGTTGATACTTCTCTTCAATCGATTTCAAGGGTAAACCTCACCATTCAATCGGTATTCATCTACACCGCACACTACTTAAGCGGATTAAAGGTAAACCTTATACAACTTGAGCGGAGATGAGCGGAGAACGAGCGGAGAGGTAAACCGATCAATCTTGATCTGATAGTGTTCGGATTCGTCTAAACAGGTAAGTCTTCCATCTCAGATTGTCCGGTATTCATGTATACCGATCAACCCTTGACCGGAGTAGTGAGCGGTTTTGGTTTTGCTTTAAGCGGAGTTGATCGGTTTAGGACTTAGAATTTGTGCATAGAAGTATTTTGAGCGGACTTCTAATCCGCTTAATTCCTCTTACCCAGATTCCTATATCATTCTCTGTTTTTGATTCAATTTGGGTGTATATTGTTTCTCGATTTGATTTTATTCAACATAATTGTCACTTGAATTCATGCTGTCCGGTTTAGAATGTTCATTCATGCTGTTCGGTTTATCTTCAAGTATTGACAGGTTTGTGATTTGAGGACTGGAACAGAAGATATCTTATACATTGTAGCATTGTATTCTATTTTTTACTTGAGTTTTGGTTTAGTAGCATCAACAACTAGCAGGCTGTATAGTGATTAACAACAGTTTAGTAGGCTGTTTTGTGGAGAAGAAAGTGTTTGCTGTTTTGTTAAACAGGCTTGCTGTCATACTCTAATAATGCCCAGATTTCACAGGTTTAATCAGGAGAAATAGTGTCTGTTGACTCTTGCTAAAACAGCTGTGTGCAGTGTTTAAGCAGGTTTGTATCTGTGTTGGGAGTGTAGTTGTTGGTGTGGAGAAGAAGGTTTCAGCTTAGTCTGTGTTGAGCACTTTGTCCCAGCAACACCAGGTGCCTGATTTAGTATGTGCAGATGCTTGATTTTGTAAGTACAGGTTATGTTTTAACAGAGCCCATACAGATTTGAAGCGTTTATGCCTTTGGTTTTATGTTTTGAGTGTATGTTTTTGAGCTATTAAAATATGTTTTGGAAATATAGTTGTGTACAGGTTCTGTGTGCATACACAGATTCTGATTTAACACACAGTTCTGCTTTGCGTAGTGATTTAACACACATTGGGACTGTTTCTGGTTTGCGTAGAAAGTTTAGTGCAGCAACTATATTTTGACAGCAACTACATTTTGACAGCAACTATTGTGAAAGCATCATCAGCAGTGTGCAGGTTTAAGGCTGTTTTGAAGCTGTTACATAGCTAAACAGCAAGCAGGTTTTGTTTATTCAAAAGCATCTAAACAGCAGCTAAACAGCAGGTCACAGTTTGAAATAGCAGCAATTAGACTGTTTTGACAACAGTTTTGAAGCTGAGATATTACTGGTTCATTGTGAAAAACAGCAGCCGAGGTGAAGTAAACTGTTTAGTATTGAGTTTGAAACAGAAGCAGGTTTGATAGTCAATATTGGTTACATTCCAGCTAAACAGGTACATTGTTTTTTAACTTTGTGCACTATACTAAAACAGTAGCAGCAACAAGTTAATTGCTTGACAGATTTTGAATCAAAAAGATTGACTGTTAAAGGTAATTGATTGATTTTGTTTGGAATAGCAGATTTAATTCTTAAACTGTTGTTGTGTCAGGTAAATCATAATACATTTTGGAAGGTTTTCAAGCATAGCAAGGATTGGTTTTGGACAGTTTAACTGATTTGAAAGCCTGTTGAATTGACTTTACTTTCTGGGATTAAGATCAAGTCACAGCAGCCCAAGTGAAGCAACTGATAAGAGAAGCATACAAGTGGATTTTTGGATAGACTTCAGAGAGCAGATAGATCATTTTTTTTAAAGTGTAATATCTGTATTGTAAAGAGTTGATACTGTTTGATTTGGACTAGATTCAGTGTTTTTGGTCTTGGATCAGTTTGTTTTGGACTTAGACATTATTTTCTTCGGCTTAATTTTGTTGTGTTTTTTATTCTTAGTTTGTTTGTGTCTATATTTTCTTTTGGATCATCGTATATCTGTTTTTGTGTGTGTTTTCATTGTTTGTGTTTTTCTATTCTCTTTGAGCTTAACTGTTAATATTTCTTTTATCTGATTTCACTGCATAGATCCTTAACTGATCAATTTGTTTCTAATGGCAGATATCATAAAGGAGTTGAGAGCTAAGATTGCTGAACTGGAAAAGAACATCGAGAGTTATAAGAAGAAAGAGCAGATGAATGATGAGGTAGTTCATCAACCATGCATTGAACAGATTAATAAGATGAA